TCAGAGCAGTTCTGGACCTCTTATCTAAGGATGCTTTGGCGTTGGAGGGGGTCCAGAGGAGGGTTACAAGAATGATCCCCGGGATGACGGGCTTGCCAAGTGAGGAGCGGTTGAGGACTCCGGGTCTGTATTCAAGGAATTTAGAAGAATAAGGAGTATCTCAGTGAAACTTACTGAATACCGAGAGGCCTAAATAGAGTGGACGTAGAGAAGATGTTTCCACGAGTACGACAGACTAGGACATGAGGGCACACTCTCAGAGTGAAGGGAGAACCATTTAAAATGGAAATGAGGGGGAATTTCTCTAGCCAGAGGGCGGTGAATCTGTGGAACTTGTTGCTACAGAAGGATGTACAGGCCAAGTCATTACATGTATCTAAGACAGAATAGACCAGTTCTTGATGAGTAAAGGGATCAAAGGTTATGGGAAGAAGGCAGGAGAATTGTGTTGAGAAACATATCAGCCACAATTGAATGGTGGAGCAGACTCAATGGGTCAAATGACCTAATTCTTCTCCTATATCTTATGGTCTTGTTAGAACGTAACTTTCCCAATAATAATACACCACAAATCTTCATCATACAGTGATGAATTCAGAACGAGGCCAAATGTTAAAAAGTTCAGAGGAGAAGAGAAAAATAATAAAGGCAAAGAGAGACTATGAGAAGAGACTGGCAGTGAGCATAAAAGGAAATCAAGAGTATTTTGTGGACATATTGATGGCAAAAAAGTACAAAAAGGAGGGGAGACAATAGGGACTAAAAGGGATCTATACGGGGGCATGGCTGAGGTAACAAATCCATATTTTGTATTTGTCTTTACCAAAGAAGAAAAAATATTGAAAGAGAAGGCAGTTGTGACACTGGAAGGACTAAAAATTGATCAAGGAGGTATTCAGAAAAATGAGTTGTACACAAGGTTGACAAATCTCCAGACTGGACATAATGGATCAAAGAACTGACAGAAGGGAGAAAAAAATTGCAGGTGCACTGGCCTTAACTCTCCAAAAGTGGTACCATAACATAAATTACAAATGTTAAATGCTTTTTTGAACAAGGATGATGTAACGATAGGCCCGGTAACTACAGCTATAGTTTAAACTACAGTTTAATCTCAGTGGTGGGAAAACTTTAAGGGATAACTGGAGGCTGTAGACATGCTCACTGAGCCGGTGGATTTGGTTGCAAATGTTTCGTCTCCCGGCTAGACAACATCATCAGTGTGCCTCCGGTGAAGCGTCAGTGTTCTGTCCTGCTTGTTATTTATATGCCTCAGTTTGTTGGGATGATTGGTATTACTTCCTGTTCTGTTCCTCAGTGGTTTGTACACAGGGTCTAATTCAAAATTTTGTTGATGGAGTTCCGGTTAGACTACCAGGCCTCCAGGAATTCCGTGGTGTGTCTCTGTTTCGCTTGTGAGATTATGGATGAGTTGTTCCAGTTGAATTCGTGTCCCTCGTTGTCTGTGTGTAGTGAGACAAGTGAAAAATTGATCGTGTATCTCTTGGTGGCTAGTTGATGTTCGTGTATCCGTATTGTCAGTTTTCTTCCAGTTTGGCCTATGTAGTGTTTCTCAGAGTCCTTCCATGGTATTTTGTATATTACCCTAGTTTTGCTGGTTTTGGGTGTGGGATCCTTTACATTCGTCAGTAGCTGTTGTAGGGTGGTTGTTGGTTTGTGGGCTACTCTGATACCTAGGGGTCTGAGTAGTCTTGTGGTCATCTCTGAAATGTCCTTGATGTACGGTAGGGTGATTAGTGAGTCTGGCCGTGTTGTGGTCTGTCTTGGAGGTAACGGAGGATTGTGCTTTTTTGGATATCCATTCCTTTTGAAGACTCCGTATAGGCGCTCCTGTTCTGCTTTGCATAGTTGCAGGTTGCTGCAATGTGTTGTGGCTCGTTTAAATAGTGTCCTGATGCAGCTCCATTTGTGGGTGTTGGAGTGGTTGCTAGCGTAATGAGTAGCTGGTCCTTATGTGTGGTCTTTCTATAGACGCTAGTCTGGAGTTCCCTATTGTTTTTGCGTTCTACCATTATGTCCAGCAAGAGTAGTTGGTTGTTGTTCTCTTCTTCTTTTGTGAATTTTATCCCAGTAAGGATATTGTTTATGTGTTGGTGGGTTTCTTCTAGTTTTGTGTATTTAATAAACACGAAGGTGTTGTCTACATATCAGACCCAAAGTTTGGGTTGTATAGTGGCGGCACTGTCCGTTCTAACCTTTGCGTTACTGCTCCTGCAATCAGTCTTGACATTGGGGGTCCCATTGGTCTTCCATTGATTTGTTCGTATATGGCATCATTGAAGGTGAAGTGGGTTGTGAGGCACAGAACTAGTAGTTTCATGGTGGTGTCCTTATTAATGTTATTGGTGTCCTGGGGTGCCTGCCTACTTAATTCGTCCAGTAGTGTAACCCTGGACAAAATTAAGTCACTTAGAAAAGTTGGATTAATTAAAGAAAGACAACATGGATTTATTATTAGCAAATTGTGTTTGATTAAATTGATTATTTTGATGAGTTAACAAAAGAGGAATGATGAAGAGAACATTGAATTCCAAAAGGAGTTTTGATAAGGTGCCGAAAAGTGTAACAGGTTCAGTAGCAGCATGGGTGCAAAGTTCGTTAAGTGACAGGAAAGAACTTTCAGGTTTGAAGATATGCAGGAGCGTTCCAGAGATCAGTACAAGGACCGCTGGTTTTCTTGTTATATTTTAGTTACCTAAATACGACTGAAAAAGGTCACAACTTCAAGATGTGCAGATAAAAATAAAAATGGAAGTACTGTTACATTAGTGGAAAATAGTGACAAATTATAAAAGGACATAGGCTGGTTGGATAGCCTAACACATAACGGAAGGCATTAAAGAAGAACACTGAAATGATACATTTTGGTAGGAAGAACAGAGCACAGAAGGCTGAGAGAGGTCCTGATTGAGGTGTACAAAATTATGAGGGGCACAGATAAGGTAGATAGGCAGAAACGTTTTCCCTTGGTAGAGGGATCAAAAAATCAGAAGGCATAGATTTAAGATAAGAGCAAGAGGTTCAGAGGGGATTTAAGGAAGATTTTTTTCACACAGAGCATGGTGGTTATCTGGAACTTGGTGTCTAAAAGGGTGGTAGAGGTGAGAACCATCAGAACATTTAAGAAGCATTTAGATGAGCACTTGAAGTGCCACAGCAAACAAGGCTATCAGCCAAGTTCAGGAAAATGGGACTAGACAGATAAGTGCTTGATGGTTGTTGTGGACACGATGGGCCTAAAGACCTCTTTCAATTCTGTAGCAATGAGAGTCTTGTTTAAAAACAAAAGGGTGTAAATCTAAAGAGATAAAAGAGAAACTTGGAAGTATATATACAAAAATCATTGAAAGGCAGGGCAGTTTGAGAAAGTGGTTCAAAAGGCTTACATGATCCTGGGCTCTATATGATGGCATTGAGTACAAATATATGGAAACTACAGTAAATCTGGTTGGGTTCACTGGAGTATGATGTCAAAACTGGGGCACAACACCGTAAGAAAGCGGTCAAGAAAGACTTTGACAAATGGCTCCACGGATGAGGAATTTCAGTTACATGAATAAACTGGTGAAGCTAGGTTTGTTGTCCTCAGAAAAAAGGAGGCTGTGGGGAAATCTTTAAAGTCAAATAGGGTCTCAGAGTACATAGAGAGAAACCATACCCATTGGCCACAGGTTCAGGAACTATACACTACTGCAAGGTGAATGGCAAAAGCAGCAATGGTGACTTGTGGGAAACATTTTCTAAACACTGAGTGGTTAGGATCTGTAATATGTTGCTGGAAAGTGTGAGGAAGGAAAATTCAATCATGACTTTCAAAGAGAATTGGATAATTGTCTGAAAACAAATGGCAAAGCTACACGAAAATGTTAAATTCTCTGTCCCAGAAAGTGGTTGAGGCTAAAAGAGAGAATGTTTTAAAGGTGTCAGATGTAGTTCTAGGGACCAAGAGATCAAAGGGTGCAGGGAGAAAGGATACTGCTTTGGATAAAAACCGAAAGAACTACGGATGCTGTACATCAGGAACAAAAACAAAGTTGCTGGAAAGGCTCAGCAGATCTGGCAGCATCTGTGAAGAAGAACTTTCTGAGGAAAGGTCACCAGACCCAAAGAAAGAATCAGAATGAACGTTTTGGGTCTGGTGACCTCTCCTCAGAAAGTTCTTCTTCACAGATGCTGCCAGACCTGCTGAGCTTTTCCAGCAACTTTGTTTTTGATACTGCCTTGGATGATCAGCCATGATCATATTGTATAGTGAAGAGGCTCAAAAGACATAACCTACTCCTATTTTCTATGTTTCTACATCAAATACATACAGTAATGACACAGAGATAGTAAAAACCGCCGATGCTGGAGTCAGAGACGACACAGTCGGGGGCTGGAGGAACACAGCAGGCCAGGCAGCAAAGGAGCAGGAAAGTTGACGTTTCGGTTTGGGACCATTCTTCAGAAAGGTTGATACAGGCAGTTTTGCCGACCTAGACTGTGCTGGTGTTTCACAGAAGTCTTTCTGTTTCAGTAAGGCAAAGGGGAGTGGAACTAGCCGAGCAGTTCTTGTCAGTTTCTGAGGAAGGGTCACTGGAGTTGAAACGTTAACTCCGATTTCTCTCCACAGATGCTGCCAGACCTGCGGCTGCCGTTTTCCAGCAACTTCTGTTTTTGGGCCAATTTTAAACTTTTTAAATCAACCTGTTTTGACGTACCTTCGTGTTGGGTGGAACTCAACCTAGACGTTCTAGTCTAAAGGTAGGGACACTTCCATTACACCTCCACCCCTTTTAGGCCACAGGACACACATTGACAATGAAAACCACGAACTCAAAGAGACTGGGCGGCGAAAGCAGAAACCAACAAAGCGGGTGACCCCATCATCCCGGCCCCTGGCTATCCAGAGATGTCTCGGTCTGTAGTCTAGCAGCCACCCCTCCTCCCCCTCCGCGGTCTGAGGCCTCACTTGCTCCAGTTCCCACAGAAACACTCACTCGTTGCCTCCCGCTGCCCTCTACAACTTCGGAAAGCCGCACTCCAGGAAAATAGGACCGTTCGACGCCTCGATATGTTTCGCTCATCCCTTATTGAATGTGACTCTCCGGCAAGCCACAGGGTGCAACTGGAAATCAGTCCGCACTAACAAACCGCTCCATGGCTGTCGTGGTTGGGGGAGGGGATATCAATGAGCTCGGAAGACATTCGATTGCATGTAAAGTATGCGATCAGATATATGATCCAGGCTGGAATTCCAGTTGCTTTTGGTTGAAGTTTATTTTCAAATCTATTTGACCGGGGCCGGTGCCGAGGCCAGGACTACAATTCCCAGGTGACTTTGCGGCGCCCCACGCATGCGTAGCGACGGGGCGTGAAGATGGCGGCCGCTCTGTCCCGGGCGCTGAAGCTTCCAGGTGAGCGCAGCTTCAGCTGTACTGTTACCCAAATAATGTCATCGTGAGGGTGGATTACATACATTTATCTAAACCCGTTAACCTCATTCCTATCTAGTCAGGCGCATAGATTTATTTTTGTAGTCTTTTCGACGAGCACCTGTTTTTACTTATCCTGTTGTATGCTCTTTTTTATTCATCCACGGGATGTGGGCGTCAATGGCCAGCCATCAGTTATTGCCCATCCCTAACTGCCCAGAAATCAACCACATCACTATAGGTCTGGAGACACAGGTAGACCAGACAAGGCTAAGGATGGTAGTCTCCTACCTAAAGGACGTGAGTGAACGAGATGGGTTTTTTCCCCTGACAATCTAAAATGGTTTCGTGGTCATCGTTAGACTCCTAATTCCAGATATTTACTGGAACATTACCAGGGTCTCAGTATTAATAGTCTAGCGATAATACCACTACTTATGTCTGTAGTGAGAACAGAAACTATGTAAACGCGTCACACTTTCAGTGATACCTCAGTCTTTTCTGAAGGTCGCTTGCTCTGACATTATCCTCAACAGCGTCAATATGGGTCACTGCACAGAGCAGAGGGTGGTGTTATCCTGAGCCTTAGGCTAGTCGTCAAATCCCACCACACCATTCTTGTGTAAATATAAATTCAATCAATAAAATTTTGAATTGAATGCTCGTCTCAGTAATGGTGACCAGGAAACTATCATTGTTATTAAAAACTCATCTGGTTCACTGATCTCCTTTAACGAATGAAATCTGCTACCCTTATCTGGTTTACAAGATTAACTCTGACCAATAGTGATATTTAAATGAGTTCTGAAATAGCCTGCAGAACTAATCAGCTTCAAAGTGATTAGAATGGTCAGCTGGTGTTGTAAGTGACGCCGATGTCATTTGAAATAATGAAGACGCAGCAAAGAACGGTGGTGGTGGAGGGTTGCTTTTTGAACTGGAGGCCTGTGACTAGTGGTGTGCTGCTGGGATAACAAGGCGTAGAGCTGGATGAACACAGCAGGCCGAGCAGGAAGGTTGATGTTTCAGGCCTAGACCCTTCATCAGAAATGGGGGTGGGGGTTCTGAAATAAATAGGGAGAGAGGGGGAGGCAGATAGAAGATGGATAGAGGAGAAGATAGGTGGAGAGGAAACAGACAGGTCAAAGAGGCGGGGATGGAGCCAGTAAAGGTGAGTGTAGGGAGGAGATAGGTCAGTCCAGGGAGGACGGACAGGTCAAGGGGATGGGATGAGGTTAGTAGGCAGGAAATGGGTGTGCGGCTTGAGGTGGGAGGAAGAACAGGTTAGGGAGGCAGGGACGAGCTGGGCTGGTTTTGGGATGCAGTAGGGGGAGGGGAGATTTTGAAGCTTGTGAAATCCACATTGACACCATTGGGCTGCATGTTGTCTGAGGAATGGGAGGGGAGTTGAAATGGTTCGTGACTGGGAGGTGCAGTTGTTTATTGTGAACCGAGCGTAGGTGTTCTGCAAAGCGGTCCCCAAGCCTCCGCTTGGTTTCCCCGATGTAGAGGAGGCCACAACGGGTACAGCAGATGCAGTATACTACATTAGCAGATGTGCAGGTGAACACCTGCTTGATGTGGAAAGTCTTGGGGCCTGGGATGGGGGTGAGGGAGGAGGTGGGGCAGGTGTAGCACTTCCTGCGATTGCAGGGAAAAGTGCCGGTTGTGGTGGGGCTGGAGGGGAGTGTGGAGCGGACAAGAGAGTCATGGAGAGAGTGGTCCCTCCGGAAAGCAGATAAGGGTGGAGAGGAAAAAATGTCTTTGGTGGTCGGGTCGGATTGCAGATGGCGGAAGTTTTGGAGGATGATGCATTGGATCCAGATGTTAAATTTAAATCTGACATGATGTGAAAAGAGTTCTAAATGCCTGGCTAAAGTATTCCACCTTTGTGAATATGCATTAAGAAACCCACCACTTGTGAACTCACCAATCTGAAAGGTGTCTTTAGGGTAATGGCTTTTTGTGCATAGAAGTGTGTCACTTATTTTAGGGAAAAATAAATTGTTGACTTTTGCCAACATAAATACTGTGATGTCTCAGAAATTAATGTTTTACTTCTGTGTTATGGTCTTAAATTTGATGGAGGTTTGATAATTATTGAAGACATTGATGTATGCTTCGAATTCTGTTTCTGTGCAGCCTAAATGCTCCGTATATTAACGTTAACACACTAGGTAATGTTACTAAGTGACTGCATCATCTTGAAAAAGGACTCAATGAAAAGTAGCCACATGAAAATTACAAATTAACCCTCAAAAATAAAAGATTTATACCCTGTTGATGGGGGGGTTTATAGAGGATTTGTGATGTCCACTATTTGCCCATAAGACATAGCAACAGAAATGGGCCAATCAGCCTATTGAGTCTTCTCCATCATTAGATAAGATTGTGGCTGATATGATGATCCTCAACTCCACTTTCCTGTCTTTTCCCCATAATCCTTGATTTCCTTAACAATTAAAAAATCTCTCTATCTCAGCCTTGAATATCCTTATTGACCCAACTCTCTGCTGTGAAGAATTCCACAGCTTCATTGACCCCTGAGAGAAGAAATTCCTCCTCATCCTTGTTTTAAATGCGTGACTCCTTGTTCTGAAAGGATGCATTCTGGTCCTACACTCTCCCACAAGTCCCCAAAAGAATGTTCTATGTTTCACAAGGTCATCTCTCATTCTTCTAAACTTAAACGAGAGTAGACCCAACATCACCTCATAAGGCATGCCTCAGCCTAGCGCATCTTCTCTCGACTGCCTCCAGTATATAACTATATCATTCCTTAGATAAGTGCACCAAAAGTGTTCACAGTATACCAGCTGATTATTGGTTTGCATAGTTTTAGCAAATCCTCCCAACTTTTATACTCCATTCCCTTTGAAATAAAGACCAACATTCCATTTGTCTTCTCCACTACTTGTGAACTTGGATGCTACCTTTTTGTGGGCTAGGCTAGAATTTATTGGACCCAGAGGGCAATTCAGAGCTAAGCACATTGCTCTGGATCCAGAGTCACATGTAGACCAGACTAGGTGAGGATGGCAGATTTCCTTCCCCAAAGGACATCAGTGAGCCAGATGGCTTTTTCTAACAATTGACAAAATAGCAGTCTCGCTCCAAATTGGAGGGAATAACTGCAGCTGTCTATATTTTAGAATCCCTACGGTGTGGAAACAGACCATTCAGCCCAATGAGTGCACAACAACCTCCAAAGAGAATTCAACCCATCCCCATCCGCATCCCCCTTCCCTATAACCCTGCATTTCCCATGGCTAACCTACACATCCCCAAACACAATGGGTAATTTAGAATTGCCAATACACCTAAATTGCATATCTTTGCACAGTGAGAGGAAACCGGAGCACCCGGCAAAACCCACACAAACACTGGGAGAATGTGTAAACCCCACACAGACAGTCACCCGAGACTGGAATCAAACCTGGGTCCTTGGTGCTGTAAGGCAGCAGTGTTAACCACTGAGCCACCATGCCACCCGCAACTACAATGAGGACAAATCAAGGAATCTTAGCCAGCATTCGTCGCATTGTGATTGTGCTGCCCCTTTGACACAATTCACCCCAATATCCTGCAGATCCCCCAAGTCCTGTATTTTTCCACCTACCTGTGCAGGTTCCTATTGAACAGCATCATCTAAATGCAGGCACAGGGATTTTTACAGAGTAGATGAGAAGTGAAGTCACATATGACCAAGGTCAGCCAAGAAGACCAGGCTTAAAAATTAGACACCCCAGACGGGACTCGAACCCACAATCCCTGGCTTAGGCCAGTGCCTTATCCATTATGTTAAAGAGAATCGTAGTCCCTCTGTAAGTTACAGGCAACAAAAGTTCCAGTGTGTATTCTGGAGAAAAACAACCCCAGTGAGTATGATGGAGAATAACCCTTCTGCTTATTGCAGAGAATAGCGGTCTCTGATTGTTTTGTTGAGAATAGAAGTACCTGTTTATATGATTGAGAATTGCAGTCATTATTGTATATTATTGTGAAAACCGCATCTGTCTATGCTTTGGAGAATGTATTTTGCAGCAAATAGAATTTGCTGTGTGTATAGTAGAAAATAGCAACAGCTGTGAATATTATAGAGAATAGCCATCCCTCTATATCTTATGGAGTAGAGGACTTGTGTGTATGATATAAATTAGCAGCCCTATGCATATTACAGAGAGTAGCAGTCCCTATATATCTCACAGAATAATAGTTGTAGAATCATAGAATCCCAACAGTGCGGAAAGAGACCATTCGGTCCATCAAGTCTGCACCAACACTCTGAAGAGCAACCCATCCAGACCCAGTCCCCCCCATCCTATCCCTATAACCCCACACTTTACCATGACTAATCAGCACATTCCTAGACACTTCGGGGCAATTTAGCATGGCCAATCCATCTAACCTACACATCTTTGGTCTGTGGGAGGAAACTAGAGCACCCAGACAAACCCACACTGACACGGAGAATGTGCAAACTCCACACAGACAGTTACCCAAGGCTGGAATTGAACCCAGGTTCCTGGTACTGTAAGGCAGAAATGCTAACCACTGAGCAACCATGCCGCCCTAGACCCTGTAATGTTATAGCTAACAGCAGCCCCTGTATATTTTGCAGAGAATAGAAGCCCCATGCTTTTTAGAGAGACGAGCAGTCCCAGCCTCTGTGTATGTGAGAGAGGACGGCAGCCCGTGTGTATATTATGGAAAACATAATTTATAAATAAGGCAGTTTCCTTTTAAGTCAGAGTTTGGATTTTTTTTTTCTCTGAGTGTCATTAGAGTGTGGAATTCTCGTCCCCAAAAGGTAATGGAGGCTGGATCTTTCAAATTATTCAAGACTGAGTTAAATAGCTTTTCGATAATAAATGGAGTTGAGTAGTAAGGGTTGGCAGATGGGAAAGTGAGGTTGAGACTGCAACCACAACAGCCATGGTCTTATTGAATGGTGCAGCAGACTCAGACCGAATGGCCTACCCCAGCTCCTAAGTCACATGTTAACTGGATTTGAAAGGACTGATGTAGAGTTGAGCGTACTACCCCAGAGGGTATCTAAGCCACATCCAATAGGGTTCAGGAGATGCCTAGGTGGAAGTCACTTGCTCGGTGTGAGCAGGGAATGATGTTTGCACGGGTTGGTGGTGAGAAACTGAAAGAACGCAGAATCCTGTTTGAACAGGGTTAAGGTATTTGGAAATGAGGGGAACGTTGACAAACATCATTTTCAACAACTCTTTGCTTTCCAGGGAAAAAGATTCATGATCTGGGAGAGTACGACCCACTCTGTCAGGCTGACAGTGATGACAGCGAGGATGATAGCGATCTTAGCTTCCAGAAAAATGGCAATGTCCAGACTGAGGGCAGTGTCGAGGCTGTGTGTGACAGAGACACCGATGCCGCAGTCGAAATGCACACGCTGAAAACGAAGCAACGGCGGCCAGATGAACCCAGCTCAGCGGAGGTCCGTGCGACTGAGGTCTCCGACGAGTTTACTGTTAAAGCCAGAATCTCGCTTGTCCCTTGCCTCCGGACCACTGCCTTCCTCCTCACCCTTGCGTTCGCCATGGTCCTCGTTCTGGTCTGCGCTTTCTTCATCCCGTGTCCAAGGAGCCAGCCACAGATGACCTCGTGGAACCGAAGCCTAGGCCAAGCAGCCAGTGAGCAGAGCTCAGATAGTGGAAATGCAATGGCAATCATGCTTTATGACATAGATTAATGGGGAGGGAGGACCAGTACAACACCTTGCAATGTCAGTGCACCCTGGTGATTCTGCCAGGCAGAATTGCTGACATTTGCCCAGTCATACTTAGAAGATGCTGAGTGAAGTTTGGACATAGGAGAACCCGACATCCCTCACTACCCTCAGCATTCAGCAGTAGATTGTAAAACTACACTGGCTGATGTTATACTGTAGCTGCTGCTGTACAGTCAGGCTGAAAGGACTCACTCAAAGGAATGGAAATTGCTCTGAATGAAGGACACTTTGCTTTTGCGTCTTTCCTAACATTTTCTGCCTTTTCTTCACAGAATCATAAGTGCAAAAGGAAGCCATTTAGCCCATCGTGTCTGTACCAGCTTTTCAAACAACCATCATTACCTAGTGTCAATCTCTTGCTTTCTCCCCATACCCTTGCACGATATCACCATCCAAATAATCATCCATTGCCCCCTTGAATGCTTCTTCTGACTGTCATAGAGCCAGTGTTTTGAATGAACAGACACTACCCCCAAATCACAGAGTGATAGAATCATACAGCACAGAAACACACCCTTCAGTCCAACCAGGCAATGCCGACCATAATCCCAAACTAAACTTTTCCCATCTGCCTACTGTTGACCCATATCCCCCCAAACCTTACCAATTCATGTACTTCTCTAAATGTCTTTTAAACATTGTAACTGTACCCTGCATCCACCACTTCCTCTGGAAGTTCATGCCACACACAAACTACTCTCTGTGTAAAACAAAAAAAAAGCCCCTCATCTCTTTTTAAAATTTTTCTCCTCACCATAAAAATATGCCCCCGGTCTTGAAATCCCCCACCCTAGGGAAAAGACACCTGCCATTCATCTTATCTATGCCCCTCATGATTTTATAAACCTCTAGAAGGTCACCCCTCAACCGCCTGCGCTCCAGTGAAAAATATCCCACCCAATTCAGCGTCTCCCCATAACTCAAAACCTCCATCCCCGGCAACATCCTGCTAAATCTCTTCTGAACCCTCTCCGGCTTAATAATAACATCGACCAGAACCAATTGATGAAAGGCAATGGGGAATGGGCTAGGAATAACCACTGCTGCAATTTATCAGTAAAGAATTGCCCTGCACTCAGCATCTCTTCTGAGAGTGTGTACTCTCAGATAACAAACGTAACAAATGTAGCATTTTACAAGATTAATTTTGCAACACAAAGCACCAGTTCCTATGGTGAGCTTTCTCTCCTTGCAGAAGAGATGGTCGAGCCTCTGTCACTATAACTCATTCTTGTTAATTGACACGAGGCCTCACACCCCTAATAATTGCAGACTCTGTCATTTAGATCGGGTTACTCAGGTTATAAACTACAAATCTGATTTATTACAGTTAGGAATAAACCATAGTGAAAAATCATGAAGTAGGAGATTTACTGAAATTTTGAGTGGCACCAAATCTTCTGCACAAAATGTGCAAAACTTTGCTAATTCAAAAATAACTTGTATTTGTATGAGATAGTAGGAACTGCAGATGCTGGAGAATCTGAGATAACAAGGTGTAGAGCTGGATGAACGCAGCAGGCCAAGCAGCAATAGAGGAGCAGGAAAGCTGACATTTCGGGCCTAGACCTTCCTCAGAAAGGGTTTCTGAAGAAAGGTCTAGGCCCAAAACGTCAGCTTTCCTGCTCCTCTGATGCTGCATGGCCTGCTGTGTTCATCCAGCTGTACACCTTGTTATCTTGCATTTGTATAGTACCTTTTAACAAAGTAAAATATTTCAAGGTACTTCGAAGGAGTGCAGTCACAAAAAACTGAAATCTTTGGGGGTTGTGAAATCTTTTCAACTGGATGGCCAGAGTCAGAACTTGCTGCTTGAAAGGATGGTAGAAGCAGAATTTATGGGGGTTTTTGATAAAGTAAAGAAGGAGAACTGTATCCACTGGAAGGAGAGTTGATAACCAGGACACAGATGTAACATGACTGGCAAAAGAACCAGAGAGAAGATGGGTTTTCTCTAATCTGGAATGAGATGCCTGAAAGGGTGGTGGAAGCAGCTTCAATAATAAATTACAAATAGAATTAGGTAAATATTTGAAAAGAAAGCAACTTGCAGAGCCAATGGGTTAAGAACAGGAGTGCAGAGCAAGCACTGATACAGTAGGTTGAATGACCTGTTGTTTACTGACTGAGCTCTAAACAACATTCTAATTGTCCACATACAGTTTGTCTTCTAAACAAATGGGAAAAGCCCTGAGTTCTGCCTGATGATTGCATATTTCACTATGAACCTGAGCCAGATGGTTACCAAGCAGATATTGAAAATTGTGCTACCCCTTTAAGAACTTTAGATGCCATTGATTGGCTACAGCTCTGTCTGGATTGCTGTCCTCTGAATTAATGAGATCCTTATCATGACCACTTTGACCATCAGCTTGCTGGTGGATTTTATTTAAAATTAAATGCATTCTTGGGGTGTGGACCTTGTTGGCCTTAATGCTATGTCCCTGGTTTCCCCTGTAAAGTGATGTTGTGGATCGCTGCAGGAAAATGGATCAGGCCTTTCTGGCAGTGTCATCAGGAGGGCAGGTGCAACAAGAGTCAAACCAGAGGAGAGCAGAGTTGCTGCAAAATAGGGGGAAAACCAGGTCAGGAGCAAAGTCGAAAAGACTCAGGAGGAACATCTGGGACTAAAGGAGTATGGGACAAAGACCATCATGTGGGATTAGGTTGCACTTCAGCCACATTCTCATTGAATGGCAGAATAGACTCAAGGGTTAAATTACCTACTTTGGTTTCCGTGTTCCCAGATGGGCTGGTAAGAGTCAGTAAGAGACACCAGGTTGAGCACACAGGAAGCTGTGTCCTCTGTCCGTGAACCATACCAATATCAGCCGTCAAGTCTTTCTGTTGATTTGAATAGGACAGGTCTCACTGCACCGTCCAGAAGAAACTGCAGCAGGTAACTGAGAGATGGTCACCATTGCCCAAGAGCGAAGCAACTGTAGAAATAGGCAGAAGAACCCAAAAAGTTTGACGATTTTTAAATAAATCCACACCAGCTCAATGGGCCAAGAGGCCTTTGCTCATTCTAGGTGCTCTGTTTTTCTGTGTCTCTCCTGCAATTCCTCCTGTTCATCCAAGATTCTCCTTTCCTTTAGGTTTCCCTCCTGTGATGACGCTCTGGGATGTTAATGATGACCAAGTTTCTGATGTAATTATTTCGTTCGGTTCCACCGGGAAAGTCCGAGACCAGAAAGGAGGCCTCAGGCCACAAGGTAATTTAGGGTTGGATGGAGTATTTGCTGCAGTTGTGACAATGTGGTGACTACTGGACAGGAATCCACAACAATCAGACAAAGAACTGTGGATGCTGGAGATCTGAAACAAAAACAAGAGTTGCTGGCAGAGCCCAGGGCCCTTAGCTGCGGCCGACCCATTTCCCACACTTCTGTCCTCACCCTTCTTTTCCTCCTACAACAACGATAGGATCCCTGTGGTCCTCATTTACCACCCCACCAACCTATGCAAGCAAAGGATTGTGAGCTGCTATTTCCATCACCTCCAACAGGAAGGCACAACCAGACACACTTTTCCCTTCCCTCTCATGTCAGCAGGGATTGTTCCCTTCCCGGCACGCTGGTACACTCCTCCTCCATTCCCGCACCTCTCCACACACCCAAGGCACCTTCCCATGCAAGCACAGACAATGTAACACATGTCTGTACCTCCTTGCTCCTCACCATCCAAGGCTCCAGATGTGCCGTCCTAGTGAAGCAGTGATTTTCAATCTAGTCTACTGTATTTGCTGCTCACAGTGTGGTATCCTCTACACTGGGGAGGTGAAACTGAAACTCGGTGACAGCTTTGCTGAACACCCATGTTCTGTCAGTAAACATAACTCGGAGCTGCCAGTTACCAGCCACTTCAATACACCAGTGTGTTCCCTGGCCAGCGTTCCTGTCACAGGCCTGCTGCAGTGTTCCAGCATGCCTCAGCACCAGCTCAAAGAACAGCATCTTATTCTCCGCTTGGGGACTGAGCAACCTCTGGAACTCAACATCAAGTTCAATAACTTTAGAGTTCTACAGAAGGGTCACTGGACCCGAAACATTTAAGACTGATTTCTCTCCACAGATGCTGTCACACCTGCTGAGTTTTTCCAGCAATCTCTGTTTTTGTTTCTGATTTCCAGCATCTGCAGTCCTTTCAGTTTTTATTTTCATTCAATATCTTTAGAGCCTGATTTCATCCTTCCATGTTTTCTTTACCCACCCTACACCCAATCCTGTTATGACATAGGTTACTGTTAGCACAGCCAATCCGTTCTCGCCCACTCTCGGGCCTACTACCACAGTTTTCTTTCAGCACAGATTACTCATTCTCTGCAACCCTCCTCTCTCATTACCACTTATTCAGTTTCTCTTCTGTCCTACACCGCCATCCAGAAACCCTTATTTTTTTGGAGCCCTTTAATATCTCCCTCTCTTTCTCTCTCTGGGCTCCTTCTCCACCTATTACACCACCTTACACCAACACTACCTGGCAGTTCATTCCATACATGCACCACCTTCTGCATGAAAAACTTGCCCCTTAGATCACTTTTAAATCTTTCCCCTCTCACCTCTGCCCTCTAGTTTTGGACACCGCCACCGCAGGGAAAAGACCTTGTCCATTTACCTTATCCATGCCCACATGATTTTATAAACCTCTATGAGGTTACACCTCAGCCTCTGACACTCCAGAGAAAATAGCCCCAGCCTATTCAGACTCTCCGGATAGCTCAAATCCTCCAACCCTGGCAACATCCTTGTAAATCGTTTCCAAACCCTTTCACAACATCCTTCCTATAGCAGGGAGACCAGAATTGCACGCATTATTCCAAAAGTGGCTAGCCAATGTCTGTACAGCTGCAACATGACCTCCCAACTCCTATACTGGGTGCACTGACCAATAAAGGCAACCAAACCAAATGCCTTCTTCACTATTCTGTCTAGGTCACTTGGTTCAGCAGCATTCTGCAAAACCTTACCATTAAAGTGTATAAGCCCTGCCCTGATTTGCCTTTCCAAAATGCAGCACCTCACATTTATCTAAATTAAACTCCAACTGCCACTCCTCAGCCCATTGGCCCTTCTGATCAAGATCCTGTTGTACTCTGAGGTAACCTTCTTTGCTATTTATTACACGTCCAATTTTGATGTCATTTGCAAATGTACTAACCATACCTCCTATGTTTACATCCAAATCATTTATATAAATGACAAAAAGCACTGCACCCAGCATTGATCCTTGTGACACACCACTGGTCATGAGCCTCCAGTCTGAAAAGCAAGCCTCCACCAGCGCCCTTTGTCTTCCCACGTGTGTGTCTCAGTATCTTAATGACACTGGCCCGGGTGAGTGTCTCTCAGTATCTCAGTGACCCTGTCCCTGGTGCGTGTGTCTCTCAGTATCTCAGTGACCCTGTTCCTGGCGCGTGTGTCTCTCAGTGTCTCAGTGACGCCGTCCCTGGCGCG